ATGGGGTTTTCTTGGCAAAGATACTGGAGTGGCATTGCCAGTTCCTACTCCAGGTGGGTTGTGTTTAGTCGGAACTCTCCACTATGACCTGTCGGTCTTGGGTGTCCTAGCCCATAACGTCTCTGAGTTACTCAAGCCCCTTTGCCACAACAAGGCAGCAATCCATGAAGGGGGTGGACATCACTAAAGGGTAGCAAATTCTCAGGATGTTAGGAACTTGAGAACTTAAGAAGCTGACTTACACTGTGTCAGATCATTGATCCATCTACCTTGGCATTGTCAACTCTGCCATTAGCAGCTCTTCTGTGTTTCAGGCAAGATTGGTCTACTTGGAGATCCCTGGTGTTTGCAAACTGGCAGTCTCCCATCCAAGTTATAACCAAGCTTGATATTTCTTAGCTTTCAAAAGGAGACAAGATTGGTATGCACAGGGTGATATGATGGCACTGTATTTCCTTTAACCTCTTGTTTTTCAAGGAGACCTTCTTGATTACACAATCCTTAGAATAATGGATGCAAGTCCTGCTTTACAAAGGACAATGCCCTCTTAGAAGTTGTCTTGTCTTTGAAAATCTGTCTATTCCAAGTCCACCTTAAAAATAAAGACTTACTAGAGGGGGGAGCAAAGGCTTTAAGATTGCTAGCACCTGTCAGTTTACCTAAACTAAGCAGGAAGGTCATCTGATCATAGTTTTCTTCACTGTGGCAAGATGAATTGTACTTCTGCTTATAAATTAGCACTTGCAAATTGCATGCAAATCTGCATTATCTTTTATCCTTTTGGCAATGAAAAATCTATCATCCTGTGCTAAATAACTCTTGACAGAGCTCTCCTTCATAAATCTGGCTAATGCATTTTTAAAGCTATCTAAGCTCATGACCACCACTGCACTTCATGGTGAGAGTGTCCATAGCATTATTATATGAAATGTTTGGCTCTTGGGAATTGATTCTCAAATATAAAATACATTTTGCATCACACCCTAACCATGTTGTTGCCCTGGCTCATTTGATATATGTATATCAAGTGCATCAGGAAAGACACGTCTAAATACAATGCTCCCCACCCCTCGCACGCAAGTAAACGTGAGTGGCGTCTAGAAGAAGCCTTGCTTGCATGAATTTGAGGGATAAAAGCATGGTCTATACTTGTAAGCATCCTTCAGAGATGATACTCAGACATGTGTATTTTACATACATAAGGTTCAAAGTGGGTGCTTCATGCAGAGCATGATAACCAAGATCATGATCACATATTACCTGGGTTAAAAGAGACAACAGTTATTAAAGACTAGTCCAGACATGCTTACGCATTTTTTATTATTGAAGCAGTGAGTGATAATATGCATGTGTGAATGGCCCATCACTACCAGAGATCTTTTTTTTCTCTTCCCATCACTTCAGACATAATTCTTTTTAGAGAATGAACAACTACTGAGTTAGTTCATACACTCAGCTGCCAATTCATTATGGGATGGACTTACATATATTGAACGAAGAGTAATACAACTGTCAACTATTTCTCACATGGGAAAAAAATGACCAATTCCAACTTACTTATGATGTAAGCCTGATTTTAAAAAGGGTTAAGTGTAGATAACATGCTGTTCCTGCATACGGGAGCCATGAGGATTGGGTGCAACTTAGCAAAAGGTGCCTGGGGGAATGAGTTCTGCCTCCATACAACTATGTGAGTCCCAATGAACCCCTGCAACTGAACCCCTGCAACTCCCAGGGTGCAGCAGGACCTCATTTTACTGGCTTGAAGAAGCAATGTGGGAACACCATGGAGGCACAAAGGCTGCTCAACCTCCTGCTGATTTGAGAGCTCCCAGTGCCATAATTTGGCCAGAAGGGTTCTCGCCAAATTATGGGACAGGGAATTCATTAATTCTGAAAAAAAAACATTCCTGTCAAATGTATAGGAAATCAAATGCTGATTCAATGTACATGTGCATGTGTGAACTAACCACCAACATTCCCTTGGATCACCTTGAGTTTGGCTCCCTTATGTAATTCACAGATCTCTGTTTTGCTGTGGAACTGTGAACTTTCACACCAGAGATGGCAACTCTTGTATCTAGGGACTCTCACTGCTATTGAGAAAAACACTTATTCTGGAATGAAAAAGAGGTAAATTCGTCACCGAGCACTGCTATTAGCAGTCCTTCAGTTCAAACTTTGATTGACTAAACATAATCTGAAGACAGATCAGATACAGTGAGATTTTCCTTACTTTTAATAAGACAGAAATATAGCTATTGACTGGCATCTGTCATATGTAAACATGCCTTTGACTCTTCAACAGATTTACACATTCCCTGATGGTGATCTGGCTAGTTTCCTAAAATTTAATCTTAGATAGAACTGAAACTGGGTCTTCCAATCAGTCCTATACAGTATTTTATCAATGGTCCACAAAACTCTGGTGCTAGAAATGAGCCTTTCATCAGCCTAGCCATGCAAATAGCATATTGCTGTCAATACTGTATATGTTTGTCAGGGTTGTAAATCTTGCTTGGTCAGGAACGCTGTCTCATTTAATTCTGAAGGTGAAATGGGTGATTTCCCTTCTATCCCAGAACAAAGATTACCAGATAGTCACCCAGAGTAATTCCTTGAACTCTTTGTTCAACTTACTTAATTTCTCAACCTGGTGCTCTCTAGAACTATTGTCGGATAACTCATCTCATCCCTAATTAGGAAGTCTATGGTGTGAAGACTGCGGACTATGGGAGTTGTAGCCCAACACTTTTGATAAGGACACCAACACATGCAGCACTGACTCCAGTCTTTTTTACTACCCATCTCTCTTAAAAGAAGCAGAGTTTTAGTTGCTCCTCCCTTCATCTGCACCAAGAAGCTCCAGGAACAATGAATTAAAAAGTAGATTCCCTCTTTGCCTCTCCATATAGTGTCCATCTGGTGGGTTCCTAATGACCCTATAACTGGAACAGTAAGTGCCTAGCAAATGCACTAATTGTCCAGAGAAGCTATCAGTTTTGCACCCACTAGGGTTATGGTAGTTTTGGTGTGAGTTTATTCAAGGTACTAAAGCATGACAGGAGTACCATTCTCTGCCTCCTGGCTTCAGCTCACATTCAAAGATTTCCCATACAATTGAAAATATAGTCACACACATAGAGGATGGAGCATTCATGAGATTCCTCATTATATCTACCAGCCACCTTAAAAACAAATCCACTTTACCCTAGTTTTTCTCTAGGTTATCTACTATCAAGTCACTTCCAACATATGGTGATCCTAACAGGGTTTTTGAGATATTTGAGATGTTTGAGGAATTATTTACCATTGCCATCCTTCAGAATGTTTCCACAGATGAGCAGGGATTTGAACAAAGATGTCCAGAGCCCTAGTCCAACACTCTGCCCATTATTCCACACTGGCTTTTATCATTTCTCTGGATAGCAAAGAACAAATGTAACTGCAGTTCCTATTTCAACAGTTTAACATTACACTGAAAGCAGTTTTCCCACTGCCACTGACAAGGATATACAGAGCTAAAAGGAGCTACCTGGAAATAAATTCTACTAAACTCTTCAGGGTTTACTTCTGAGTTGATATGCACTGTGTGTAACTTAGGTAATCACAAGATAGCATGGCACAGTGGAAGTTAGTTCTCCCAGAAACTCAGTAAATAGTTTTAAGCAAAGCTAGAGATTACAGTTCCCACAATGCCCCAGGCATCATTGAGCCTTCTCTGAGTGGTAATCTAAAACATTTTTCTCAAGCTTTGATTTTATGGTGCAATCTATCTGCTTTTCCGCTAACATTATGTTCCACAGAACATGAGCAGACTTCTGAGTAAACATGAATGCAGCATACATCTGTAGTCTGTTTCTATCTCATCTTCTCAATTTCAAATGATAAGCTTTAGAGAAGTAATGAGGTAATATATGCAATAGCATCAGTAGGCTGTTTTGGGCTGGGGGAGAAGTTATGCAATGGTGTGAAAGCATAATGTGCATGTGTGGCTTGTGCTGCTACAACAGTCTGTGTACATTAAAAATAATGAATAAATTTAGGTTTCCAGGGGTTTCTCCCTTTCCCCTTCCACAGACTCTCATAAATATATACAAAGTACTTCAGACACCCCAAAATGTAGTACATATGATATATTATTCCAGAATGTTTATCATCTGTAGACACTGTACATCAATTTAAAGACCAAAGGTTATTAGTGAATATGCAGCATTATTCCAGTGGCACCTTTAGCCATCTTTCTGGGTCAGATTCAAGGTTTTTATACTAACGTACAAAGTCCTTACCAGTTTGGGTCCTTGTTACTTGTCCAAGTGTCTGCCCTGAAGAACTTCTCATTCCATCTGGTCCTGCCAGGCCTCGTGCTTACAGGTGGTCATGCTGAGAGATGTCTCCATCGGGAGTTGAACCTTCTTGGTTGTGGCCCCATTTTTGTGGGATGGCTTCCTGCTTGAAATGCGTCAGGCCTCCTCCCTTCCAGAAGATGTGAAGGCCAAATGCTTCCTTAAAGAGCATTTAACTTTTTGTGGGATGGCTTCCTGCTTGAGATTCATCAGGCCTCCTCCCTTCCAGAAGATGAGGCCAAATGCTTCCTTAAAGAGCATTTAAAGACATCCTTCCCCTGAGGTAGCTGCATGATTTGGATTCACCTTATACCATCATCTAGTTTTGGATTATTTGTTCAGGTCTTAATTTTTCATTTTTGTTTATGACTGTTGCATATTATGGGGTTATTTTGGTTTTGGGGGGGGCATATTTTATATTTACTGTTTAACCACCTGGAGTAGTACTGTTTAACCACCTGCATGTCACTAGGTCAGGCAGTATAAAATGTCTCAATAAATAAATAAAAATAAATAAGCAACATTGTTTTGCTTGCTATGTGTCACAAGTGTCCTACAGCCATATGGAGAGAAGTATAGCCTGGATTCCTTACAATGATCAGTTGAAGCCTCCTCCAATCTCATACTCTCCAGAGGTGTGAATTACAACTTCAAACGGAGAACTCTTCCAATGGAATCACAGCAAGTAATGTTGTCTGTTCAGCACTATCCTAGGGAACGTCAGCTCTAGAAGGACCTTCCACAGGTAAAGATGCAATTAGTAGACATAGATGCACAAAGATAAAGATGAAAGGGGAGGGCAGTTTCAGCTGGTTGGGCTCCTAGTTTAAGCCCATTTACCAGGGTGTAAGCTCCATGGATCCTAACAGATACTCAGTTCCAAGTGGTACACCTCTATGGGATTTTAGTAAATTTCTGCCTGCCTCAGAGACCCAGGGGGAAAAGGAAGCAGGGAAATTTGGCATGCCTGCTGTTCTTTTGAAGGTGCTCCCTCTCTGTCTTCTTTATCCCTTCCCATCTCTGTGATTTAATCAGATCTAAAATAGCACAATACTGATAAATAAATTCTCAAAGACAGATGAACAAATAAATGCACTTCACGAATATAGCATTGGCTGTCAGCTCTCAGGTGCGTTAGGAAAAAAGTCTTGATTGTATCTTTGAAGGGGAACCAAGTTGCCTCCTAGTTCGAGTGAGGACACAATCCTATTCTTGTGAAAATAACGTCTCCTCAGAGGAGCGTGAGCCTCCTCTGAAAGGTTTCCTTAGCATTTACTGTTGCTCCTTTTACAGATGTTTGGGGTGGTTCCTTTACTAACCGTTAGCTCATGTTCTGCTCTCTGAAAGAGAAGACGGTTGCATATGAAAGAGAACGATAGGATCCTTCTCTGAAAGATTTTCTTCACATTAATTCCCCCCCTCTTCTAGCCCGCCACGAGCCCCCCCCAGGTGTCCTCGGTCTCCAACTGCCAGCACGCCCGACCCCAGCCAGTCCGGCTGGCAGAGAATGATGGGAGTTGTAGCTCGACAACACCTGGGCGACTCGCTACCGAGAAAGGCCCGGCGTTTGGATGCCTCGGTGGCTCATTTGAGACTTTGATGTTTAATTTGGATGCTTCTCCTCTCCGCCCCCTCCTCCTCGGAGGCTTCTGTGGGCGGCCTCTCTATTTATGGAAAGGCAACAAGCCGAGAGTGTAAAAAAAAGGTGGGGGGAGAGAAGCCTTATTTATAACCTGCTTTCACACACACCTCCTCCGCCTTTTAAGACTAGGAAATAAATATAAACCAAGGGTCCGGAATTAGATAGCTGGATCCACCCTTTCCCACAACATCAGCCGCCGGTGGGCATCTAATTTCCCCTCTTTTTAGGAAAGAAAATCTGGGGGTGGGAGAAGGATTGAAGGATTGCTGGGCAAACCGCTTTCTCCATGCTGGTGCAAATGGGAATAATAGAGAGGGAGGGATAAGACGAGCACGGCGCTACTGTTTTGTATGAAACCATTTTCCGCTTGGGGAGGTGGGGGGGAGACCAGGAAAGACTAAATCGAAACCATTGGATCCCCTTGCGCAAAGGCTGGCTCCGGACCCGACAGCCGGCTGGCCTGCGTTCTGCCCCACCCTCCCCTTTTGCCCGCCAAATCCCACGGGGCGCGGGAAAGGAGTGTCCCTTGTCGCCCGCCGATTTATCACAACCCCCCGCTCCCCTTTAAAGGAAAGGGTGTGTGTGGCTGCAGACAGGCCTCGTCGTGCGAAAGGCGCGGTTGCTTAATTACCGAGCGCCCATGGGGGGTTGGTGAGGAGTGTTTCATAATTCATGGCGGGCCGGATATTCGCCTCACAGAAGCGGGAGAGAGCGAGATGGGCGCCAGCTTCTCCCCCCACTCCTCCCCCGGGTCTCTTTCGCGCGCGCCCCAGCCCTCGTGGCTGCTTTGTGCTTGGCCAGAGGAGAAAGAGGCCGCGCGCTCCGGGAGGGGCCGGCTTTTCCTTTGATACGGCCTGGTTCTGATCCCAGCCGGCTGTCCCACTAGGAAGGCGAGCCATCGCCATGGAACAGGATGAGCCGGGGATTTAGTCCCTATTGAGCTCCGCTGGAGTGAACTTCGGAGGATACTTCTATCTCTATAGGATCGGGCTAGGAATCTGCATCATCCATTCTTAAGAGCGCCCAACCTATTCCATTTAAAACCACCCTAATCGTGCCCCCATTTTCCGAAACCTGCACTCCAGCATCAACGCTAGCCATCCATCGTTCTTCCTATTTTGTTTCCCCAGTCCATCCACCCACCAAGTTATCCACTGCCGACTGTTCTCTCTCACCCCCCCCCCTCTCTGGTCAGTTTCTGATCTTTTAGTTTTCAACGGAGCTGTTGACGCCGCATTCGCTTTTCTCAATCCCGTTAATCGCGACTAGTCAATGGACTGAGTTAAACAAGTGAGACCAGGAAACCCAGCAGGAATGCCTATCCACAGTACATTTCTCCAGGGCAGGGTAAAGAGAACTTGGATTTTTTTAGAGGAGGGCGAGTAGCCTCGATTTGCACTGAACTCTGTTGCAAGGAGGTAATTAATCACAATCACACAGAATTAAATAAAAGTGTGACACTACGTTTAGAGAGCTGAATTAGAATTTGGGAGACCTGCGTTCAAATTCCTATACGGAACATGAAGCTCACAGACTATTCTCCGGTCAGTCAGTCTGACCTACTTTTTTTTCTGACAAGAACCCAATATAAAGAACGAGGGAGCTTTGTACGCCGCCTTGAACTCACGAGAGGCAAGCGTGATATAACGGTAACAAGTAAATAGCCCATCTTAATCAGTAACTTCAGAAATATCTCCCACGGTTAGAGAAGAACATTGAACCTAGAAAAACAACAAAGACTCTGGTGTGTCCTTAAAAACTTAACACATTTATTTATTATGGCATAAAGTTTGGCGGATTAAAGTCTACTGCTTCGTTGTCAACGTCGAACTATTGCTGGCATAATTGTTCATATAAAATTATTGTGCATACAAAATAATTTCTGATGACTGGATCGCGTTTCCCCATTTCCGTGGCGTTTGGACTCGGCAGCTTGATTTTTTTTTGCAAGTCAATCCCTCCCACTGACCTGCCTCGGCGGAAAAGCCACCCACCCCCACCCCGTTTGCTTTCTCCGACTCGCCTTCCCCGACCACCGGGATGGAAAACAAACCGGCAACACCAACCAACAAGCCGGTGCTTTCGACTTTTCTCCCTCAGCGGGGCAAAAAGCAAGCAAGCCACCAGCAACACAAAGCCGTATTGGCACAGCAAGCGGGGGGAGGGGGGATGCGAACTGTGGAAGCAAAAAGCTGCCCAGTTTCTGCCGGGTGTTCCTGGCATAGAGGTTTGGTCAGACAACCTGCTTCTCCGTCAGTGGAAAAAAAACCAAAAATGAATTAAAGTATTTAAAAATAAACAAACAAACAAACCCGAACGCTAGCAAGGCTGCTATTTTGTTGCTGGGATTTCAATCCCCCGAGGCATGCAGAGGGGTTGCCCCCTCCCTCCGCCGCCTGTGTTTGATTTATGGTCTGCTAACGCCTGGCCCTTGCTTACACATTGCATTGCACAGGACTCTGAAGAGGGGCATCGCGAATGCAACGGGCCTTCCCCTCTGCAGCACCTAGCCCTACGGCGCACGCGCGCACAGAGCCGGGCGCCCCCTCCCACCTTTCCGAGGAAAAACAAACACGCCACTAGAAGAGCAGCGTGAGATAAGTGTGCATGCACATGCTCCTCCTTTCTGTGCATTGAAAGGTTTTTCTCATAAAGGGTGCTTCCCTCCCCCTTACGAAAAGAGAAGGTAAAAAAAGAGAGGGTTATTTACTCTTTGATGTTTGCTCCTTTAGAGATGCGTCTATCTAGATGCTATAAATAGGAGAGGTTACAGCAGCTTGTGCTGCCGGATCGATACCGCCTGCCTGCCTGCTTCTTTTTTTCCTCCCCCCCCCGCCCTGATTGCAGCGGGAACTGGGATGCTTTATTAATTATGGACGAACTCGCCAGCTCAGCTTTTCTGTGCAGAAATTGTTAATGGGCCGCCTTGCTCTCCCCTGCATGAAAACGGCTGCGCCTTAGACAAAAAGGGGGGGGGGAATAGCTAGGTAAGTTTCCCCCATCCTTTCATGATCTGGCCTTCCCCCACTCGTGCTCGGGAGGCGATGCCGACAGATCTCAGGATACCAGCTAGCTAAATTTAACCGAGCTGTAAACTAAAAATAGGTCTTTCGTGGCTCATTTGCTGTTCGCACGTTCCTGCGAGAAGTGATTCCAGGTGAAAGCATCGGGAAGAGCTGCCAGTTCATGGCTGGGCGGGGGAAGGGGCTCTTCATCCTCCCCACCCCTCTTAAGATCGCATTTGAACCTTTGCGGGGCTGCTTCATGGCCTCGTGAGGCACGAAACATCCGGTTCAAGTAGAAATTGCAGAAATCAACCTGCACGTCTGCTCCAAGGCAGTTTAGGGGGCAACTGGGGGGGGGGGACGGACACTCCCCCCCCAGTGCTACATACTACACGTGGGTATGTCTTGGGAAGTAAGTACAGTATCTGTCTGGTTAAGAGAGAGTCTCAAAAAAAAAGCCACTGTTACAAGTGTCAAAATACAGAGTATAGTGGGGAGGAGATGTAGAGGATCCATTTTTTAAAAATCTATCCTCTAGCTTCCTTGGAAAGCTAATACCCCGAACCTTGCAATAAGACTAATAGTCAGAAGACATTTGGGGTACTATTGTGATCTCCCGTGCGTCCTTAATACAGTATTAATAGCGGAACAAGGCGGCTAGTAAACATGTTTAATCAGAAGTTATTAAAATTTATGAGGCCCCGGTTTCGCGGGGGAAAGTACCCCGACGGTACCCGTAGTTTTGTGAAATGAGCGCTACCGCTTTCTCTCATCTAGGGTGAAAGGGACGGAGGCTGCAAAGAAGCTCTGCCCCCCTGATCTGAATCCTTACCGCCAGAACTCAACACGAGTTAATTCCGAGATGACAGATAAAGGATTGTACCGTTTTACCTTCACAGAAGCATGGTTAAGAGATCCAAACTAGGGGAGGGAAGGCCGCTTTTAAGAGCAATTCTTCCCCTTAGATAATATTTTGGAGTGCTTGTGTCGCTTAATTTAAACTGATTATATTTCAGGTCAGTTGATAGTTATTAAACGTATGCATATACAAACAGCCGTCAATTTCCAAAGCAAAGAAAAGCGTCATCCAGCCTTACTCAGACAACTCAGTGAAAACCCAGAATTAAAGCCTTAAAATTTATCTTACTGATTTCAGCGCGCTTGACTTCAGTTCCTTCTTACTTAAATTTGTAAATCCGACATTCTCAGTTACATCACTTGTTCCAACAATTTACCACCGCATAAAATCTTGACTACCTCACGCAAGTTTCCATTTAAACTTCCGTCTCTCCGCAATATATTAACTTGCCCATTAACTTGAAGAAAGCACCTTTAAATTTTTGTATTAATATTCGGTACAATAAAATAGATTCACATATCTTAGAAATAAAACTGCATCCTCATTTCAAACAATAATTTTATTTTATACCTTTTTTCTATACTTTGTAGCAAATCTTGTATAATTTTTTTTGCTGAATTGACTTTATAATAAACTTTCTTTAATTACATTTTTTTTTCTTTTAAAATCAAGGCTCTTTTATTACTTCCCCACCGGAAAAAAACCTTTAAGCTGTGTGTTTATTTTTTTTTTCACATTAACATATACGCCCCCTCCCTTTCCCCCCTTGTGATCTCTACTGTTGGATAGTCTGGTATCATACGATAATGGTGGAACATCTAAAAAAGAGAGAGAGAAAGAGAGAGAGAAACCTCTTTTAAAAGAAAAAAAGAAAAGAAAAAAAAAGGCACCTCTTTTAAAAGAAAGAAAAGAAAAAAAAAAAGGCAGTGAAATTTGAAAAGATGCCTTGACAGTTAAGTAAAGCTCAACTCTCAGCAAACTTAGCAGCATTCATTAGGTCGATCATTTAGCTAAATCTCCTTGTTTAGTTTCCCATCCCCTTCGGCCTTCTTTCCATTTGTCCTTTCTTACTTTCTTCTCGTCCCTCCCCCGCCATGCCTTGGAGAGAGGAATCATGTGTCTCTGATATGGAATGGCCGAGGAAAAAAAGTCTTTTATTTAAAAAAAAACCCCAAAGAAAACGGAAACGCCATGAGAAGTTTCCTTGGAACGATGATCGTCTGAATTAATTCACCATAGAACGCTCCTTTGCGCACGTGGCCAACCCCAAGTAGATCCACTTCCGTTTTTCTCCTTCTCCTTTTAAGTTGCCCCGCTCAACTCATCCTTCCTGTTGATATCACCCCCCCCCGAAGAGCCCCTCTTGTGTCGCCGTGAGTAGTAGTATTCATAGCATCATTATTAGTAGTAGCATTATTACTCTTATTTATTACCTATTAACGCTTTTATTTGTATTCGGTGATGGCTGGACGCCGTTCCTGAGATTTCTTTTGCACACACACATACAAAATAAGAGGGCTCAAGTTGACCTTGGTCTTCAAGAAAGGAATAAAGCTGAGGTCTGGTTTTGGCTGTTGGTTGCTCACCGTTTGGTACCCTTTTGGCAAATCATCATCAGAACGCAAAAAAAAGAAGAAGAAGGAAGAGGCCGAGGGAAAAAGAGAGAGGGAAGGAGAGACCATGGTGGCGAGGGTGCCTGTTGATGATGGTCGGTGGCCGCCCGTTCTCTCTCTTTTCCGCACAGTCCTGTCTTGACGATGGATGGTGGGTGGTTAGCATCACGCAGAACTGCCCCACAGTTTTGTGTCTCCCCCTTACGCCACTCCCCCGAGCCAAGGGAGGGAGGGAGGCTTTTCCTCTATACATCCAGTTCCTGGAGAGAAAGAGAAGAAAGCGGCGGGGAGGTGGCGGGTGGGGTGGGGGCCAGTGTCGGAGGAGAAAGGCGGCGATCGTGTCGTGCGGATGGGCTGTGCGCGCTCGCCTCTCCTTCTGCGCAGGCGCACCGAGGACGTTCTAAAAGGTGAAGCACGTGGCCAGCGCGGCGGAAAGAGCGACCAGCAGCAAAGGGGAGGCGGAGGCTACGACGGACGAGGCGGCCCCTTTGTTTTTGCCGCAGAGGACAAACAAGTTGCCTTCGTAGTCGAGCTTTTTGGATTTCTCTTTCAGTTTTTCCCAAACGTCTGTCACCCCTTCCTGGTGGCAATCCGTGAGGGCTGTAAGGGTGCAGGCATGGAAGTCGTCCCAGTATCTGAGCAGGGAGAGGGAGAAAAATCACAAAGAGAGGAGCTGATCAGGAACGGTTGGCATTATCCCACCATCGTCCAGGGTCTAACCAGCTTCCCCTTCAATGCCTCATTTCTGAGAGAAAAAAATATATCAAAACAGGAAGCTCAAGGTGGCTGAAACGTAAGTTCTATCTGCAAGAGAAGGCTGAAGCAAAAGGAGGAAAGGTAGATGCCAGTCACTCAGCCATGCCCATTGCATTCCTGCCCCTTTCCATTCTAATCCCTGCCTTTATAGAGCAGTCAGTCTACACCCACTGAACCATCTAATTCTGAGTCCCCTTCTCTCCAGGGGGTTGTTAGATCACCACTTGCACAATCCTCCCCATTTACTTTGTTGGGCAGGGTTAGGACAGACAGGAGTGGCAATCTGGGGAGATACAGCTACAGGTATCTTCCTCTGAACTGTAAAGTTTTTTAATCTCTGTAGACCTTGGGGTTTCCCTAGGCCCAAAGGCATCACCCTATGATCTGTAAATAGTGACCTGCTGTCTACATAATGATCCACGTTTGGTAAATTAGTGTGTCCTGACTGAACTGGGAGCCCTTCAGATGTGATTGACTACAATCATTGTCTCTGACCATCAGTGAAGGGGATTGTGTTTTGTTAAATCTCAAGGATGGGAAAGCCTGATACCGTTTCAGAGTTTAGTTGAATAATCAGCTGAGTCAATTTTCTAAAATATTTCAACTGGCTAAAAATTATACAATAAAGTTTTTGAATCTCTGTAAACCTTGGGGTTTCCCTAGGCCCAGTGGCATCACCCTATGATCTGTAGATAGTGATCTGCTGTCTACATAATGATCCACGCTTGGTAAATTAGTGTGTCCTGACTGAACTGGGAGCCCTTCAAATGTGATTGACTACAATAATTGTCTCTGACCATCAGGTCTTACAGGCTGCTGCCATTCTCCTCACCAAAGCACAGTGGGTAATTGAACTCCTAGCCCATGGCCATCAGGTGTTCCAACTCATTGAGCTGTCCAGCTAATGCTTATTAAATACACATACAAGGTGGCAAGAACCAGGGCATTAAAATATCAATGTTTATATATATAAAATCAATACAAATATCAGTCTCTCTCTCTAGTGGCGCTCTGAGACCAGCACAGCTTACCCAAGGTCTTACAGGCTGCTGCCATTCCCCCCACCAAAGCACAGTGGGTAATTGAACCCCTAGCCCATGGCCATCACGTGTTCCAACTCATGGAGCTGTCCAGCTAATGCTTATTAAAGACACATACAAGGTGGCAAGAACCAGGGCATTCTTTCTGTCTTGCCCACCAAACAAATGCCCTTTCTGAGATTGCATCTGCAAGGATACAAGTGTGAACCATCTAAATGGGAAGGAATAGCTTCTTTCCTCCTTCAGAAATACTGTTTTTACATGCAACTGAGATATCAGTCAATTAATTGACTAAAACTCATGTGGTCAATCCATTAAAATGTCCTTAATGGGGGTTCAATTGTATTGATATGTGAAGAGACAAAGCTGTCTCGCCTTAAGCCAGAGCCTTGGGGCCTCTAGCACAGTATGATTTGTTCTGAGTGATGGGGCTCCAGTCTTCCCCAGAGTGATTAGACTTCACTCTGTGGGAACTATGCATCCAGGTATGTGCCTTTTCCTCAACCTTATGCCCTTCTGACATGTTAGATGAATTCCTGTCATTCCCAGCCAACATAGTCATTGGCTGCAGTTTGCTGGGGAGGATGGATATTGTATTCCAAGTGCATTCTTCTAGGAAATACTATAGGTTCTTCTTAATGCTAAGAATCAGAAAAAGGATCTGTCTACTCCAGTGTCCGGTTTGTACAGTGGCCAAACAGGTATCTATGGGAAGACTACCAACACAGAGACAAAGCCTTCTCATAGTCTTCTTTCCTTGCTCCTGATAGTGCATCCTGTCTCTGGTTCTGAATGTAGCTTAGACAGCTTCATCCTCTCTGATGGACTTTGGTTCACAAAAGTCCCAGCCAGGACAGTCAGAGGTTCTGGGGTATGTTTGGAACTCCAAAGCATCTATAGAGCTCAAGGTGGAGAACCACTGCTCAATAAAATCATTCAGCTGGGTTGGAACAAAAAAAAAAAACCCCTTCATGCAAAGCACCGCTGAACTATGGGTACCTTCTAATATGGACTACCCATCCATCATAATGCATTTTTTAAATCTGTGAATACAGTACTGATAGAAAAGCATTTTGCACATGTCGTAATGAGCCCTCTTCCACTGTTAAATTAAAGCAAGGAAAAGTGCTTAGAAAGGTCAACAGTCTTGTTCCCTCAGTTGTGGGCGAGGGGAATGGAAGTTGCATTCAAAAGTGTAAGGGAGAATGTATAGCTGTCAGTCTGTTCCTGGGCACAATTCAAAGTGTTGGCTTTAACCTATAAAACTAAATGGTTTGGGTCCAAACTATCTCAAGTACTGTGTCTCCCTTTATGAGGCTGCCCAGTGTTAATCAGGGGGGCCCTTTTCTCTTGGTGCCACCATCCTCACAGGTGCGCTTGGTGGGGACACAGGAGAGGGCCTTCTCTGTCACTGTTGCCACGGGAGGCCCCATCTTTGCTGTTCTTCTGCAAGCAGACCTTTCTCTTCAGGCAGGGTTGACTTGGTGTCTGAAAGGGTTTTTTTTCAAAGTTTTTTTTTAATGAATTGTACCTTGCTGCTTTTAAATGTATTTTTAGTATTGATTTTATTTACCATTTTCAAAAGAATATTTGTTTAAATCTTTTTAAATATTTGTATACTTACTGTTTTTAGCTTTTAAATATCTTTTAATGATGTAAGCTACCTTGCTTCCTTTTTAAGGAAAAAAAGTGAGGTAAAAATATTTTAATCAAATACCTGTGCTCAAAGGGTCTTTTTTTTTTTTTTTGGACTTATATACCACCCCATAGCGCTACAAGCACTCTCCGGGTGGTTTATAATTTAATTATACAGGCTACACATTGCCCCCCCCCAGCAAGCTGGGTACTCATTTTACCGACCTCGGAAGGATGGAAGGCTGAGTCAACCTTGAGCCGGCTACCTGGGATTTGAACCGCAGGTCGTGAGCACAGTTTTAGCTGCAGTACAGCGTTTTAACCACTGCGCCACGAGGCTCTGTTTTGCTTCCTAGTCTTGAAGACTTTTGCTTTCTAGTCTTGAAGGCTGAACTTTGTGAATAAAAGAAACAAGTCACAAGGTCATAACTCTTTTGATCTTGACACAAACAGTGCCCTGAACAAAGTGGCGCAACGGCTAGAGACTGGGGAGAGTGAGGTTCAAGTCACCACTCAGTTATAAAACTTACTTGTACATTATCCTGGAACCAAACTACTTTAACTCTAAGAGTAATGGGACAGGAGGGTTTGAGTTGCAATGCCTGGGTTCATATCCATCAACACTGGACCAATTAGGTCATACATGTGGGATGTGCTATAACTGTATGTATAACATATACAGGAAGGTGCCATTTAATCAGATAAGGTACATGGCTCAATAATAAGATAGGTTATAAATGTAAGCTCCAGATCAGCAGCCCTGTTGCTTTCAGTTGAAAGCCTTCACGAGGAGGATGGCTGGCTAGCCCATTTTATGAAAACATAAACGATCCAAAACATCTGGATGACCCAACATGATAGACTAGATACATGCCACACTATTCCATAGCGACTAATGCTTAGGCAGTCTTGTAAAATGCCACCAAAGTAGTGAAAGCAGGGCTATCCCACTTTTGCCTTCAGTGTACATCTCAGGCATTGAGTCCGTAAGTGCACTCAGTCTGAATGCCATTGCTAAGCCAGTGAGGACTCATCTCAAGCTTATTGTTTTAGCATCTGCATGGAGGTGCTCTGCATCCTAGCTAGCTATCAATGAAATTTCGAGGTGCAGGTACAGTACTCCTAATGAAAACCTTCACAGCCACTCCTCCAAAAAGAAAGGTAAACCGCATCTGTGGGTGTCAATCCATTACAAGAAGTCAGCTGCAGTCACTTTCGCTCCCATCAAGAAGAGGGATTTTATAAAACTAATGGACTTTAGTAGCCCATTCAAAATCTAAAGATCCCAGAACATTTCCTTTTGAAACAGAAATAGCTCATACCAGTATACTGTGAGAAAACCCAAGTGTGCAGGCACATACCCCTCCCAGCTACTGTGAGTGTTGTTGCACCCTTCCCTTCTATTGTCCTCTGCACATGGGAGTGAATGTACATGCTTTCCACAGCTGGTGCTACCGTGAGGCAGACTGCCTCACTCCAGCAGCTGATCTGAGTTTCATGACAGGGCAGAAATTCATTGCATCTTTAATTGAGTGTGGTTGTAGCTTTTACACGCAGCGAAGGGGGGAGAGCTGCGTGTGGGATTTTTGTGTTTCAGGTGCCAAACCACCTTCAGCTGCCTTTAGGTCTTGACTGGTGTGTGTGTGTGTAAGAGAGAGAGAGAAATAGAGGGCAAGAGTGGGAGTGAGTCTGTGGTGTTCCACCTCAGGCAGCAGTTCACCTTGAGCCAGCCCTGGCCGTTTGCTGTCAGTGATAATTACGATTTCTATGTATTTATTTTCTGATCTGCACACCTGACCTATTCCTCTCCTCTCTTCTTTCCAGATTGCAAACCTATTATTATGTCTTTTATGTTGACTAATCCAAGTGGACAGCCCAGCTTTCCTAATAGTAATTCTTATTTTTATCAGGACCACCACCAAAGTATTTGTAGACACCGTAGCCTGTCTCTTTCCCCGTGTAGACATCTTGTTTGGACTGGCTAATACTCTGGTTGGTTTGCAATACCCTGGTGGTTGGTGCTGCAGCTCCTAATTTATGAACACTTGGCGCCCGCCGTGGAGTCCAACGCGGGCTGCATTTGTAATAAATAATGAGGCCTGGAGATGGCGAGGAGGCTGAGAGGGCGCCTCTCCTGCCGTATTTCTACCGTATAATTGCGTCTCCCTAAGGAAGGCTAAATCTTGCCCGAGCTTCTCGCTGCCCCTCCGCGCGCGCACGAAGATGGGAACAGGGCCGAGAGCAAAGGAGAGAAGACGCCTAGGTGGGTAGGTGGGTGGGTGGGTAGCGGGCGGGGAGGAGGAGGCGGCCTCCCCATCCTTGCGGCACCTCCCAGCCGCGGCGAGGGGTTCTCACGCCGCCAGCATCTTCTAGGGCAAAGGACTCCTTCCCTCCCCCGCGAGGCGCCCTGCAATTCCGGGAGCCCAGCCGTTGTTGCTCCAATAAGGGATCTTCAGCAGCCATCTACACCCCACCCCACCCCCCACTTCTGAGGGAGCAACGGGGCTTTCCAACCTCGAGATGAAAAGGGGGGGGGAGGAGGGCGGCGCCTCCGCCGTGCAGTCAAAGCACCCGCGGAACGCCTGTTCTTGCCGGGCGTGGTGGGCTTGCGTTGGGTACCTTTCAGGCGCAGGGTCTCTTCCCTCCCCAGCAGCAAGCGACGTTGCCGTCGAAACTCGAGGACGCTTTTTGTCTCGCATTGGGAGGGAGGGATGAGGACTGCCAGGATCTTGAAAAATTGGAACGGGGGGGGGCGCAAGTCCCCTCCACGACCTTGGGAGCAAGGGATGGGGCCAGTAGACGATCTGCCTCCATTTAGAATCTCTGCTTCCTTATGCATAAAACTGATTGCACGTTTTCGATTAAAGCGGGGGGGGCGCGGGGGTCAATGAAACGACCTTTTATCCGAACCGGGATTCAATCACCGTGCGAATTTCAACAGGGCTGACTTCGAAGTAAAAGGACTGAGAGGAGCAGTGTGGGAATAAGACTTCTAGCAGCCTGCCTTCTTACGGCCCAATGCACTACTTTGCTCGATCTGAGCCGTTTTCCTCCTCATTCTCAAGTTTCAGGAGGAAATATTTGCATTTAAACTGACCATCACGACTGGGATTCTCAGTACCTTTCTTCTGGATTTTCTCGTTGCTTTCAACAAAATTTAATTCCAAATCATGATGTCTCAGTTTGAAACCCTACCCTAACAGGGACAAGAAAAACATGATGCCACTCCAAACGGGTGCTCTAATAATAGAGTGAGATAAATTTAATTTCTAGAAAATCTGATTTAAGATTATAGCTTTTTAAGACAATAGCTTTGGATGCCAGAATCGAAATGCATTTGATTTTTAAAAAAAAACATGCCAAGGTGAATATATTTTCACTTGAAAAGCAGTCCAGTTTAAATCAGAGCGCCCTATGTCCCCGTCTGCATAGGGAAGACCGGGTTTCCATCTAAATATCGGAATGGATTTAAATCTAAAATGTTCATAAAGAACTGCAGTTCCTTTTTGAAAAATTTATTTATTTATTTATTTGCTTTCAACCCAGCCTGCTTTCAGATTTTTACCTTCGAACAGGAGGGATGGCACTTTTACCCATATCAGCCCGTAGACTAGTTCAGGATTTTGGATTTACATTAGGATGATTCTCTAAAAAGTCAATCTCATCAATTGCTTTAAGAAAAACAGTAATTTATCTTCCCGGCTACTTTACACCAAAGCGTCTCAGAAGCGGTTTGCAGGGTAAGAGCAGCCGCTCAATTACAGAACAAAAAGTTTTAATGTGCCCATTTTTAAATCGCTGGGCAACATAGTGGCCTTCCAGTGTTGAACGAACGGAACTGGGGAAAGAGATGGGTTCGAATCCTCATTTTATATTGCAATAGTTCTTGGAAGTGGGGCGAAGGAGTGTATCCTCAGTATAGCCACTCTATAGTCAACATAGCCACATTATACTAAACCACTGTCATGATTCGCTCTTTAATATGATGAATGCATGAAATTATCTATGCAATGTGACCACAGCTCGTGTGAAAGATACTGAAATCATACTGCGATGTATCGGGACAATAGGTTGTAACATTACACAATTTAATAAAAACCGTATCCTTGCTCCAGACACATTTTAAAGCATTATACACCTCCTTGTCTCATTTTGGATAGCAGTTTCTTCCTACTGCCTTCAACAAGGGGAAATAGGGTAAATCCCCGTTGGACAGAAGAAGAGGGAAAAGGGGGGGGGAGTGTCCCCAGGAGGAAAACACTATCGAGATAACAGAACCAGCCGCCTTACAGTCTGTTGATTACCTTGGTCCCAGCATTGTGCTCACATTAAAAAGCTACCACTCTCCGTTGGACAGAAAGTGCCTTTTCCCCACCACAAGCTTGACAGAGCTATGCCTTTTACTAGCTTTGATCTATAAATGATTAGGAAGGACCACTGATAATACCTAGCTGGTCAAGTAATTAAAAACAAACAAACCCTACATCAGAAGAGGAAAAACAATCCCCATTCAATGAAACAGAAGAATCCTATATTTGCAAAATGGACCAATGAATATAATTGGAACCTATTAAAATACTCTTTTATTTTGCTTTCAATGTCATGTGGATCGCACTCAATGTCGGGCTTATTTGGAAACAAATTTAATCGAAATCTGATGAAGGTCACTTCCACTTGCAAGTGCTTAATATCAGGGTAGTAATGCAATAGGGATGTTACCATTAACTTTAATGGGACGAAGACTAAATTCAATATCCTTGTTTCCGTTGGATAGTTATGCTTAGTTCAGCATTTGAGGCCACTGAGGATTAAGCCTGGGGAGCGTGACTTTATTTGGCCTTAAATTCCTACTACTGTGGCATGTCGGTCCCCAACATTAAGAAATATGAAATCCTAACTAAATCCCCACTATTACATTGCATGTTCTTTATCCCCCTCTTTTTTAAAAAATTAAAGCAACTATATACTGTACAGTAAATACATTATAAAGAGTCGGAGCCCGAATGACTAGGAAGGAACATAATAAAATGGGAGAACATACCGGCAGATTGTTTCGAGATTTCTCTTGTCGTCCAGATCTTGCGGGTAGTTGGCAATGTTATGGCCCATCTTGAGCACACAGTCCGAGAAGCCTTTAAAAACCGCATCGCACTTGCCCGCCGCTCTGACTGCCTGCACCAGGTACGCTGGGGAACAGATCAGCACCACATAAGACGGACAGCTCCCAACGAGGTAAACAGCACGCCATACAGTGCGTCTCTCTCTCTCTCTCTCTCACTCTCTCTCTCTCTCTCTCTCTCTCTCTCTCTCACACACACACACACACACACACACACACACACACACACACAGAGTCATTCTCACAGGAGAATGGATTTGGCCTGCCATCAGCTCCCCTTCAGCACCACATAAGACGGACAGCTCCCAACGAGGTAAACAGCACGCCATACAGTGCGTCTCTCTCTCTCTCTCTCTCACTCTCTCTCTCTCTCTCTCTCTCTCTCTCTCTCACACACACACACACACACACACACACACACACACACACACAGAGTCATTCTCACAGGAGAATGGATTTGGCCTGCCATCAGCTCCCCTTCACCCCAAAGCGAGAGAGAGAGTCATTCTCACAGGAAAATGGATTTGGCCTGCCATCAGCTCCCCTTCACCCCAGAAAGGCCATTCACTCCTTCTTTCAAGAATTTTTAACTGGATAGGTTGAGTGGCAATATTGGGCACTTCAAATCATAAACTGACTTTAGCACTCTTCTTTAACTGCCCCACAAATGAATCAACAAATGAATAACTAAACAAGCAAATACATAAACATATAATTGTACTACTTAATAGTAATA